AATGTGTTTCCAACGTTTCGACGATCCTCACACAGCTTGCACCCTGAGCACCTGTTTAAAGAACCTGTTTGAATCCTGGTGCGCCATTTTATTGATCGTCTTGTTCTGCCGTATCGTTAATTTAATTTATTGCTTGAGTCGCCTAGCTAACAATCTTAGTATTCCGTTCGCTGTCCCGTGTTCTGATCTAATTGCATCAAACGGCCTCAGTTAAAGTACTTGTCCATTTCAAGGATTATCAGCCAAGCAACACAATTTTTAATTCTGGATGAGCGATTGAAAAAAAAAATATTTCATTAATTTTCACTCGCTCACCACAATTAGATGTTTACTGTTAGTGAAATCCCACAATTCGGTGCGTTTTCAAATGCCCCTACTTCTCGCAGGAAGTTGAAATTGAAGTGTTTTGATAGCGTTTTGTTGATAGTACTTAGTAGGACCCAAAAACCATTTTCGTTAAATTTTTCTCTTCATCGCTGCACTTTTAGTCTGAAAAACCACAGTCCATTAGATGTTATTGTTTTAACGTATTTGCAGGTTCCGTTAAGTCATTTGTCGTCAATCAAATTCCCACACAAAGCAAAAGACCGAACAAGACTTGTTAGACCTTCGGATCCATGCGCCGTGCCTCTAAACTGCCATTTCAATCGTCTTGCTATGCCACATGTCTTTATTCCTACGGGTAATATCAACAGCATGAAAGATGCTATGAAGTTAAAAGCAGGTCACTCTTTTTCACCTTACACTAGATCGTTTTTTTTTCCTCAATGCTATATTTTTTGTTATGCGTTTTTGCTGTGCAGCGCTATAGCAGCGCATATTGTCGAGAGGCTGTCTGTGTGTGTTTTCGGAAGCGAGTGCATTTTGTCATCCACTTTCATCTCAGTTACCAGGAAAGCTGGGAGACTGAAACTTTGGATATATGTTCCTGTCTCGTGTGTCATCCTCGCGTTTTATGATCTTTCCCCATACGCGCCTGGACCCCGCGTACGGGACCCCGGAAGAAATATGTTGGCGGGAAACGATTTCGCCAACCAGGCAAGGTAGGAAGCTGAAACGTTGCAGGGATATTCTCTATGCACGTGCAAGCTAATGATTTTAAACTCAGCTGTCGAGCCCCCCCAACCACAACCTCAAGCAGCTCCTCAACCCAAAAATCATTCGTAACTCGGACCTGAACCGCAAAAGTATATATGTAAATGAACATGGGTTTTTTGACAAACGACCGTTCGAGCAATACTTCCAATTTTTAATGAACTGGAAATTTTGCATTTTTTCAAAAAATTTGCACTTGTTCTTTTTTCACAGAGCAAGCATTTACCAAAAAAACGACCGGACTTCATGCAAAAAACCGGTAACCATGCACCTGGATGTCCGTGCGGCTCTATAATGGACCA